TTTCCATATCACGTCAACCGGTACAGTACGATGGCCAAAATTTTAAAGGACGCGTAGATGTCCCCTATTGGAACCAGTCTGGCCTTTTGAAAAATTCAACATGGCACAATTCAACTATGTAGCCGTAAATTAGATTTTGCTTTACAACTTTTGTGCTACCGAAGAATCCAACACTTAAAGAGAAAATTCTTTACAACTTTAGATTTGAAATGCTACGCATTTTTAACAGGAATTGTTGAAAAATGGTGAAAACCGTGACAATGTAAAACTTGTTCGCACTTTTTGTTAATTATTTACAATAAAAAATATTTTCTAACAACTAATTTTTAGGCAGAAAACATAACCGACCTCAATTCTCATATAAATATTTAATTAATTTATTTTCTTCATGATCCAATGATTGGATCTAAACTAGTGATTCCCAAAGTGGTCCAGGTGGACCCACGGTCGAATCTTCACTGATGGCTCAAAAACTGACTCTGTGTCATGATCTGGGGTCTTTTTCGAGGCTAATGGAGATAAGATTCACTTTTCTGTGGGGGAATATGCTTCGGTCTTTCAGGCTGAGGTAATTGCAATACTCAACGCCATGGACTAAGTGGTGGAACATATGTAGAGGGGAAGGTGTTTACGTGACTGCAGTGATAACCAAGCTGCACTTAAGGCATTGACCAGCCCTCTATTTGAGTACCTCCCAACTAGTTCGGCAAGGCAAGTCTCTACTAAAATATGATGGTGAACATAACGAGGTTGTTTTACTCTGGGTGCCAGGCCACTCTGGAGCACCTGGTTATGAGACATCTGATCATTTGGCCAGAGTTGGCTCACACTATCCGTTCCTCGGTCCGCAACCAGTTTTAGCACTCCCACCTTCGGCAATCGAAGCCACCATCAGAATCTGGGTGAATACTTCGCTCAGAAAGGACTGAGAGGCACCGAGGGGATGCAGGTGGGCAAAAAACATGTTGCCTTCTATCTAATTTTTGGCTCTCACTGAGCAGACGACACTGCAGACAACTTTCTGGACTGCTGACTGCTCACTTCACGTGGCACAAACACCTGACAGTGATAGGCGTAAATGACAAGTCCAATTGCCCATCTTGCCTTGAGGAAGATAAGACAGTGGAACACATTTGTGTTTCTTGCGTGCTTGCTTATTTGTCATCGATTTTTTTAAACTCGTTCTTTTCTCTATTGTCAGTTTCTGAATTAAAAGTTTGGCGTAAAAAGCTTGGCCGTTTTGATGTTTTAAGTTGTGTGCTTTAAAAATGTGATAAATATTTTTCGCCTCACTTTAAAACTCGGAGCGATAAAAATAAAAATGATGCCATTAACACAAATAAACTATTTTACATATCGTCGCCTTAGAGTGTAAACCTGCTAACGACCAAAAAACATATTTTACTGTAGAGGCAAAAAAAACTAAATATATCTTTAACTCTTAGTCTAAGGGGCAAATCCTACATATAGTTTGTTGATCGCGGGACGTTCTATGGCCCTAATCCAGAAAGAATGAAAAAAATTACGTTTTTATGGTTTTGTTGGCGAATTTCTAACTTAGCAGGTTTTAGTTTTTGTATTTTCAAAATTGAAGTGGATTTAGCAGGTTTTTTGTATGAATAAAATTACCTAACCCGCTTAAGTTCCCAACATTTTAAGGCACCGTGGATTTTTTAATGTATTCTGAATAAAATCCCTCTTTTAGGTACCTCCCCGCTTAAGTACCCAACCCGCCTAAGTACCTACATTTTTCGTACCCCATATACCACTTTACTTATAATTTTCACCTTTTAAGTGCCTTTTTTAAATTTCTTCAAACATTTACATATTTTGAAATTCAGTGGCAGCGCTACACACCTTCGGAAAAAAATTCTAAAAAATCAACGGTAATTTTAGCCACTTGAAACCTGCGCATTATCACACTAAAATTGAATCGGCCATAAACCTTCATAGTCATAAAAAATTTTAACACTTCTGAAAAACAAGTTTGAAATTTTGGTGAATTTTTTTTTCAGTGTTCTGCAAAATTTTAAGCTTATATTTTAAGTTTCTATCGTTTTTGTTAGGGAATGAATTTTTTTTAATTGAAAAATTTTTAAAATTAAAAAATAAACATAAGTGGCAAACAATATAATTTGAATTTGGTCCAAATTGATATCCTCTGTTGTATGTATGTATAAATATGTATTATCAATGCCTTTTTAATTTAATTTTTATGAAAATGACATAACCTTGCTTTATCTGTTTTTTATGTGTTTACGTGTTTAAATAATGCTACGATCTTGGTTTTAAATTAAGTATACTTCATTAAATGTTCATGTTTTATTATTATGTAAGTTAAGAAGAAGATGTATTATGTTCGCTTAAGTACCCGCATCGAGGTACTTAAACGGGTTCTTTTAAGTACCCAATCCGACTAAGTACCTCAAAAAGCTGACATTTTTCGTGAGGTACTTAAGCGGGTTTTACTGTATATATAAAATAATACAACAGATTTATTCTTCCGTTTATTGCAACAAAAATAGGCAGTTTATAACAGTGCTCGGTCGATAGTGGATTGGATACAATCAGCTTCCATTTTGATATGGCCTACTTCAAGAAACTTTTGCTCAATAAGGATATTGTAATTTATAGCTGTAGATAACAAAACATTAGCCATAATACAGTTTTGATTTTGATATGTGCATCCGTCGCTATAAAACATTACTGTAATTGGCTCCCCGGCATTATTTTTTGGTACTACATTTTTTCTATCAAATCTACCCTCACGCTGGAAAACTCTTCTGCATTTAATCTTCTTCTGTTTCGTTCTACATGTAACAATAATTTCCTTGAGATATAAAAAATTAAAGCTTATTCGCTGGCTATTACCTTATCTTAAACGCATAAAGTAATACTCTAAGATAGAACAATAATCGAGCGACAGAAGCACAATATGTTGGATTTAGCAGTTGAATTTGAACTGATTATACTTAGCAGCTTTACTCATCAAACAATTTTTGACAATTATATTTTTATATTGACGTATTTTTTTGCTTGCCAACTGCGGAATCGCCTACTCCTTCGAACTGCA